TAGTAACATGCTTTTTCTTTAATAAAATAAAGATTATAAAACTCATTTGGTTTCCTGAACAGTACACTTGTCATAGGGTCATCTGAGAGTGCTGCCTCGGCCTAGCTTACTTAGAGTCCTGTCAGTGGTGCAAGTTAAGTCTAAGGACTACGAAGCCCACTTGACCTTTTCATAATAACATCTAAGAGTACCAGGGTGTTCTTCTGTGGGCAGACCTGTGAGAAGGAGTGTTGTATCTTGGCTAGCTGAGTTTGGACTCACTCAGCCCATTTTAGCATGTGCAAACTCCTGATTGCTCTCTGTCCAGGCTTACACATGTTTTTGGACCCGTGTTTGCTGACAACAGCATCCACACCAGACTCAAAGAACATGAGAGACACTGCAGACTAAAACAACCAGAAAAATCTGCAGTAGCTGAACATGCCCTAAAACAAACTAGACATGAAATTCTATTTCAAAATACTGAAATACTGGACAACACCAGCAATCATTACGTCAGACTGCACAGGGAAGCCATTGAAATCCACCAGCACCAGCAGAATTTCAACAAAAAAGAGGAAAGTGTGAAGCTCAACAAAACTTGGCTACCAACTCTCAAAAATGCACCGTGCAAAAGATCAACGAACTCCACCCAGCCACAAGGACAGGGGATCACTACACACAAAAGACCAGCTAATGACACCCATCAACCACAGTGTCAGATAATCTCTTCTCCTTAGCACAACAATACACCCACAATACACACTAATCACCCATCTACAGAAAAAGACAAATGCCTATATCACGGCCATAAATACTGCACTCCCATAGCCAACTACACCAGAGCACAGAGTGATGTCCTCTGAAGATGCCGGCCACAGAGACTGGCGAAACGTTAGGAAGAACAACCTTCAGAACACGGCCAAAGAGCCTGAAAAACCCACAACAACCTTCATAAGAGCTGCTAGGCTAAATGTGGGAACTGGGACACCTAGAGCTTGTTGCCCACGGGCTACCATCTTCATGGGGGTTTTTGGAGTCAGGGTGGTAGGATTAGGAAAAAACTGAATACAGCCACAGAATATGCATTCAGGTCCGGAATTGAACACTGATGAATGTTGCTAATGAATGTTGCTAATGTTGCTAATAACATTAAGATGTGACATTACCTTGTGAGGGACACTTTGAAAAGACATTTGAGTTCACACAGATTTTCCATTGGCTTCATAGCTGAGAAGAACTACAAGACCCATGGGAGTGGTATTTAGGATATTACCATATGAAAAATTGAGCCACACTCTCACCTTTTATCTTGATGTGTACTTTGTCACTGTAATCTGACCATAGTTGGTGATGGACTAATTGGAAGTAACACTGATAGGTCCCTGCATCTGATGGTTTAGCACGAATAATGTGAAATAGAGCCTCATCCCTCTCTACTGTCTCCATGCTCATATAAGGCCAGGATGCTGACACTTCTTTATACAGAGTGAATTCCGCAGGTTGGTATCTTTCTCCACTTTTACATCGGATGGTGGCGTTTTCTCCCACAAGTACCACCGCACTGGGGCTCACTGTGATGGAAGGCTTGGGCAAAAATTGTCCTGCATGGGAAACAGAATACAAGAGACCTCAAGCATGAAATCCCATGTCAGCTTGACTGGGCCATATGGAAATTATTTTCCTGTTTAGATTGGACGGTAACCATCCATGGTGCAATGGCCAATTTAAGTCAACAACCTTCCCCCTGTGACTAGGTTGGTGGGTGTCAATAGGGCCACAACTGCCCACACCTAATCAAAGACTCTGTCTGTCTGCCTGCCTCTTTGTTTTAAACATTGGCCAATGAAAAATGTATTTGTTTTTTTAAACCTCACTGCCTCAACAGCTCTTTCAGTAAGGGCTGTATTTGGAACTGAATAAATGATGAAAAGCCAGTAATGCTGGTCCTTCCCAGTGAGTCTATCCCATTAAAAGCTGAAAGAGAGACAAAAGGTTTTAAATTCCACACTCCTTGTCAATAAAATGGTTGCCATAAGATGGAATTGACTTGGACTTGATTGTACGTGAAAATGCATATGCACGGAGAGAGAGAGAGAGTCCATGGGGGAGGAGAGAAGGGACACTTCCTCCTTCAAAACACTCAGCTTCTGTTTTGTTAACAGAGGGATTCTGGTTTGACATATAGCTAGCCCTGGCCCTCACTGCAAGGTTATTAATTAATTAATTAATTATTACCACACCTTTCTCCTTGAAAAGGACCCAAGGTGGCGTACAACATCAAAAGACAATACTTAAAGTTGAAAACCATGAGTATACAACGGTGATTAGCATTATTAAAAGGCAATATTTAAAGCAAAGAACAATGAATATAAAGAGGCATCTTACATCACTAAAAGGCAATATTGAAGCTCAGAACAGTAAGCATACAAGTATTAAAAAGAGAGAACTAAACAAATAAAACAGATGTCACTCTGAGAAATGGGAAACCCAAAAATGGTAAAATGGTCAAAGCAGAACTAAAAATCCAGTCAAAGCAGTAATACATAACAATCCATCTAAAAATTACCCACCAATAGCTAGTTACTGGGGGAAGGCTTGCCTGAAGAGAAAGGTCTTTGCCTTTCCATGAGGTTGGATACAATTGTGGTTGTTCTGAGTGTGTTGTTTTTATGCCCCAACAAGTTATTTATTTATTTATTTATTTGTTTATTTGTTTATTTGTTTATTTGTTTATTTGTTTAAAGAGCCCTGAGCCCAGGACTGAGCCTGGTACCCCATTTTATTTATTTATTTATTTTATTTGTATCCCGCCTATCTGGTCAATCGAGGACCACTCTAGGCGGCTAACAATCTTTTGTTATGTGGCAACCAAATGAATGAGACACTTCCAAAAAGTCCTATTATTAATAACCTTGCTCAGGACTTCATTGTTTATCTTATGGGAATTAAAAATATATGTTGACCAAAATTGCAGCAGGGAAAATCTGTAACTAAACTTTCTACCATATTTGAATATTTTCAGGTTCTTAATGTCCGTCATATTTTTCTTTTAAATGAAAAATGAAAAAAATTAAGGCATTGGTCACAGGCAGAGTCCACACACCCCTTCTATTTGAAGGGGCCAAATAGCAGTAGGTACAGCTATTTCCAGCATGGAGAGGACTATGTGATTCCTGCCTATTGCACTGGTATTAAAGATAACAGGTCTTTCAGGAAGAAAAAGATGAGAGAGACAGCTGGGAAGTCTAAATGAACACAACATGGTTCAATACACTGGGTCTCATATGCAAACCTCTAAAATCTAAGCACACAAAGCCTGCGTCTGGGCAGAATGAACTTGCCAGTTTAAGTTTCTCCCATATTCAGATTATTTTAATTTCAAGTTCTGCCCAATATGAACACATTTTTGCAGGTTTAGGTAAATTCATATAAAAGATGAACTGGAATTAAATTCTCACCCATCCCTATTAAACAGAAATGGATATTAGGCTCCTATAGGACAAGAAATGCCACAGTGGCTGTCCACGGAAAAGTGCTCCCCCCACAGAACCCCAAACTTAGTATTTATTTAAATGTGCACAGGTAAAAACTGCAGTCAGGACAACAGTCCATAAGTATCATTAATAAACATTGCCACCCCCTTGAAATTATTTCTTGAATATCACGACAGCGTGTTAAGGTAAGAAAAGCAAATTTGACTGAGGAAGGCTATGGCTTTTAATCCCCATTTTACCACCATCCAGCATCATCAAGGCAAATGTTCATATTGTCTTTAGATACTCACCTCCTGTTGTCCATTTCTGGCTGATCAGACACCACCCTGGAAAGATGATCTCATTAGTTGTGCAATATCAAATCAACTGGACCCAGCTTTGGGTCTTTGATCCTTTCACCCGGCCGATCCTAACCCCACGGTCCCACTAACCCTTTCCAGTTGAAATACCAACCGAGAAAGATGATGCTGAGTGAGAACCTCATCTTGAGGGCTTCTGTTGCCACCAGTGACCTATTCTTTGCTAGCTTTTCTGTCCTCAGAATGAAAGGTCTCGCTTAACCACTGTACTTTCCAAAACAGAGAAATGTTTGCCATAGTTCTTCCTCCGATATACGAATTCTTCGTGTTCTGCCAGTAAAGTCTAGTGCAGTCCGCACCCTTCCGCTGCTTGACAAACCACATCTGTTTTTGGATTGCAGCCCCACTACGGTGCACACAAACCAAAAGGAAAAGAAGAAAAGGAGAAGGTTATGAAATCTTGAGATACCGAGGGTTTCTTCTTTATTTAAGTTGCATTTCTTAAATCCAGGAAAAGATATGTCCAAAGTCTGGTTATCAAAGAGTTAAAATTTCATAAGTTGCACCTGCTGAAGAGTACTGTACTGGCAAATTCATACATCTTACATGCCCACTCAATAGTGGTGAATAAGGGTGACATTTCCATTCTAAAGGAAATCAACCCTGAGTGCTCACTGGAAGGACAGATCCTGAAGCTGAGGCTCCAATACTTTGGCCATCTCATGAGAAGAGAAGATTCCTTGGAAAAGACCCTGATGTTGGGAAAGTGCGAAGGAAAGAGGAGAAGGGGACGACAGAGGACAAGATGGTTGGACAGGGTCACCGAAGCGACCAACATGAATTTGACCCATCTCCGGGAGGCAGTGGAAGACAGGAGGGCCTGGTGTGCTCTGGTCCATGGGGTCCCAAAGAGTCGGACACGAGTAAACAACTAAACAACAACAAAGGGTGACATTTCCAAAATTTTGCATACCGACATGACCAGTCATCAGGCATCCGATTCCCTCTGATTTTGGAGCCAAAACCAAAATAAAAATAAAACTAATAAATCAAACCTGAGATCAGCAGGCAGGCACTGTCCATATCACAAGGGAGGGTGTCTGTGATCTCACAGAAGTGAGGCAGGCAAGGATTGGGAGGGAAGGTTTCTCCTCCCAGACTTTGTGTCACGGCTGCCTGGGCTTATGGAACCAGAAGGCCCGTGAGCTGCAATGCTCATCCTCCAGTCCATTCTTTACTCCAAATAGCCTGAAGGGTCCAGTTTTGTTGTGAGGGCCAAGGCCAAAGGAGAGACCCAAAAGGTGCAGGCACTTCATCCCATCATGCCACTGGGAGCACCACACATGCAAAGACCTTCAGGCTGAGCCAGTGAGTTTTGGAACCAGCTGAGAATGGGTGAGATGTACGCCCAGGGTTCAAAATTACTTCACAGACACTACATTAATGTTCCAGATATACCACTCCAACAGACCTTTGTTTTTGAGAAATCCAACCTTCAAACCAAGCCCATGTTTATATTCAAAAGACCAATCACAAGACAAAGCTAGCTAGCCCCCCGCCTCACTCATGAAAAAGGGAGGCAAATTTCATACATTTATTCATGTGTTACCACCAGGTGAGGAATCGTTTGACTTTTCTCTCATAGATACCATAATATTTTAGACCAGTGATGGTGAACCTTTTTGAGCCAGAGCGTCCAAACTGCAACACAAAATCAACTTATTTATTTCAGAGTGCCACTACTGCAATTAAAACCCGAATGCCGAGGTTTTAGTTTAGAAAAAAAAATTGCTCCTCCACTGAAAGGTTTAAATGCTTGTTTGTTTGATTGTTTTTCCCATGAGCGGTATTTAAAATTAAATAATTATTGGTTCTCCAATCCCACAAAAGTTCCTTTTGGTGCAAATGCTGGAAGATAACTTTTTGGAGCACCAGCCTAGAATCCTGTCAGAAGGCCAACACGGGGAGATTTAACAGTGAGAGGGATTGGTAACAGGGGATACATTTATAGGCCACTAATTAATTTTTTTAAAATCATGCAAAATGCAAGCTTTTGTGGGTGAATCACATGATCAGAGGGACTGTTGACATCATCTTCAGGACTCAGCCAATCCTGAGGGTGCTGCTGCTGCTGCCATGGGAACCCAACCCCTTTTCTCCTGGGTCTTTGTGACCTCACAGGGGCCCCACCTCTCTGCTGGCAGATAAAAGGGGCTTGCTGGGCAGGGCAGGAGACCAGAAGGGAGGCCAGAGGCCAGAATGGACCTTTGTGAGCCCGAGTGTCCAAACTGCAACACAAAATCAACTTGGTATTTATTTCAGAGTGCCAATACTGCAATTGAAACATGAATGCTGAAGTTTTAGTTTAGAAAAAATAATGGCTCCTCCACTGAAAGTTTTAAATGCTTGGTTGTTGTTTTTTTTTCTCCATGAGCAGTATTTAAAAATAAATAATTATTGGTTCTCTAATCCTTTTGGTGCACTTGAAGCTGGCTGATGTCAGCAATGGACCACGGGGAAGTTGGTGGACATTGGCAGACCGAAGCTGGTGGAATCTCCCTGCGGAAGCTGGGAGGTTCGCTGAGGCCGCAAGGCGGAGGCCAGCAGAGGTTGGCGGATAAAGCAGATGGTGGACGTTAGCCTCCTCAAACCAGCTTGGGGAAGCTTGGTGGATATCGGTGGATGGAAGCCCGGATGTGTGTGTGAATGGCTGGTGGAGAAAAGGTATGCATGTGTTGGGGGGGAAGCGGCTGGTTTGTGCCTGTGTGTGTATCAATGTGTGTATGAATGGGCTGGCTGACGTTCCGTGGGGATGTCACCTGGGCGTGACCTAAGCATTTGGGAGCTGGCGGAGGCTGGCTTCAGAAGCGGAGTGGAAGAGATGAATGGATGGATATTCCTGGTAGAAGCCAGTGGATGTTGGCAGGTGGAACTTTGGGATGAAGTTGCCAGAACATTGGTTGGTGGATACGCCTGGGTTGAAGCCGGTTGACAGCAGTGGACGAGCCCACCCCTTAGTTGTTTTTCTCTCTCTCTTTCTCTTGCAGGGCCCGAAGCTTCCTCTTCCCCAGGGGGATGCGAGGGAGCAGAAGGCAGGCGTCCTGCTGGAGCTGAACCAGGCCCTTGTCTCTGCAGAGGATACTTGTTTACCCTCTTTTCCAAACCAATAAAAGAATTTTTCCAGAATGGTTTTGAAGTGTTGTCTTGTTTGTCAGAGGCTGTCACAGGATTATCTTCCCCCATCCCCTCATTATATCTGGGGCCCAATGCTTGGGGTGGGTCTTTGTGAAGTCATGGTGTGGGGTCCTGTGATGTCACAGGAATTGGGAACATAATATTTCTCCATGCATGTGTGAGGGAGTGAGCTAGGCATTGTGGGTTCCCTGTCTGAGCTCCTAAGCAAGTATATTATATGTCGTGTTGGACAGACACAGGAAGCCAGTGAGCCCTGGTGCCATTCGAAGAGGGTTGGATTGGGTACCTGAACACTATGGCCACCACAGCTCCTCACATTTGTTTGCCTGGCCCGGATATTTAGGGGAGCCCAAGCCATTTCCTGACACAGCAGCTCATTCTCTGAGACCTGGCAAGCCTGATCTCGATCATCAACACCATGAGCACTCCATGAAAAGCTCCTTGCAGAGTACAAGTAGGGAGAAAATTTGCCACTTCAAAAAACCTTCCAGTCCAATCTCTCACAAAAGTACCACAACCGAGGAAATGGAGATGGGCAATGAGTTGGAGATGAGCATACTTAAAAATTCATGAGGATCCATGCCATGGATAGATGGCAAAAATACACTGGTACTGCAAAATCTGCTGCTTGAGGGCAGTAGCTGCCTCTAGACTATCTTTGCAACGTTGTCCCAAATTCCCACAAGTTCTGTGAAATGGAATAGTTCCCTTTCACTGTTCTCCGTCCGGCTGTCACAGGATTATCTTCCCCATCCCCTCATTATATCTGGGGCCCAGTGCTTGGGGTGGGTCTTTGTGAAGTCATGGTGTCGGGTCCTGTGATGTCACAGGAATTGGGAACATAATATTTCTCCATGCATGTGTGAGGGAGTGAGCTAGGCATTGTGGGTTCCCTGTCTGAGCTCCTAAGCAAGTATATTATATGTCGTGTTGGACAGACACAGGAAGCCAGTGAGCCCTGGTGCCATTCGGAGAGGGTTGGAGTTGGGTACCCAAACACTATGGCCACCCTGTAAAACAATAAATGAGACTCGCTCCTTCCCTTCCGCCACGGCTCCTCACATTTGTTTGCCTGGCCTGGATATTCAGGGGAGCCCAGCCATTTCCTGGCACAGCAGCTCATTTTCTGAGACCTAGCAAGCCCCATCATCATCAACACCATGAGCACTCCATGAACAGCTCCTTGCAGAGTACAAGTGGGGAGAAAATTTGCCACTTCAAAGAAGCTTACAGTTGAACCTCTCACGAAAGTGCCACAACTGAGGAAATGGAGATGGGCAATGATTTGGAGATGAGCATACGTAAAAATTCATGAGGATCCATGCCATGGATAGATGGCAAAAATACACTCTACTGCAAAATCTGCTGCTTGAGGGCAGTGGCTGCCTCTAGACTATCTTTGCAACATTGTCCCAAATTCCCGCAAGTTCTGTGAAATGGAATAGGTCCCCTTCACTGTTCTCCGTCTTAGCAGCATCAGTCTGAAGACATGGACACCTGTTTAATATTGTCAGCTGGAACGAGCTGTGGGTCATCATTACCCACTTCCTCCAATAGCGGGAAGTGAATGATTTTTTAAAGCAACAACCAGAGCAATAGTAAGGGGATTAAACAGATGGTTCCAAAAGTTGGTGTTCCGAGACTTTACAGCTCCCACAAGCCCTAGCCAGTACAGCCAATGGCTGGGGTTACTGGGAGTCATAGTTCATCTTGCCTCAGATTTGGGAACTGATGAACTAGATTGGGATGGGTAACCTTGGCCCACATGGGCCCAAGTGTGGTGCACCGCAGCACCCCTGGGGACTTAGCAGCCATCCACACTCAGTCCAAAATCATTAAATTTATTTTTCGAAATAAAAGAAATAGTACAGCAATGATAGATGTTGGAAATGGGAGCGGGAGCGGGGAATCATTACCTCAAATCTCCAGGTGACCTCAGTTTGTCAAAATCTGTGCACTTTGACACCTGTAGCTGATGGCACCCTCTCCATATGCCAGCTAGGTTACCACAACTGTGTTTCCATTATGAGCTTGGATAACAATGTTTGTATAGAGAAACAAGCAAAACCTGCTTATATGAGCCATCCTTAAGATGTACAGTATTTCCATGAGCCTCAAGGTTGCAGTGATGTCCCATTATCCCCAACCCTGAGAAGGCTTGACTATTGGCCCTCCTTTGTTCTGCCTTCAGCCAACAGTGCATAAATACATGATTCCGGGGCTCGGTCAGGACTGGCTGCATGTTCGGTCTTCAGCGAGCGGTGGTTCAAGGAAGCATAGGCAACGTCACCGGATTCTGCTTCGTCTTCTGGTTGCGAGGCCTGCAGAGAGGAAGGAAAAGAGAGAGTGTGTGTGTCCCGCAGCTGCTACTTTCTACATTGCACATAAGGATACTTGTCTGGAACACAACTTGGAAAACTACTGTTTTGGATGACATCTCCCCAAATCCCAGAGTCAGCACAACCATTGGTTATGAGGCTCTATGGCACCTTCAGAAAACAGCAGGATCAGAGGGGAGTGGTCAGCTGGCCACCAGACCTGGTTCTATAGCCATCATCCAGTCATGTGCTGTTAAAAAGACCTTTCAAGTAGAAAAATACACACAAGAACACATCATATTAGTGTTGTTCCTCCATGTCAACCAAAACTTGTTGGAACTTCTTGTACTAAACTGAATTATTTTGCACTCTAATTGCTAGTGACTACCTAGGGTTGTCCCTCTAGGACTGAAAAGGGAACCATTGCAATGCAGACTGGTTAAATATATCTTCTACTTTAATATCATTGATATGACCCAACTTTCTTCATATCAATACCCAAAGGTTACATCCCATTATTCTGTTTCAAAAAGAAGATGAAGACAAAGCTTAACTCAAGCCAGCAAAAATACAGTTTCCAGAACTAACAGGCTAAAATCTGAAAACATATTGACATTATAAAAAGCAACAAAAATATTGAGAAAAAGAAACATAATTCAAAATCCATAAACTTTATCTGAAGATGATGGCTACTGGCCAGGTGACCTTCTAGAAGAGTATTCTACTTGGTAAGACAACAGAAAAGATGCCATGGAACAGAGCAGGGAGCCTCAGATGACCTCTGCCAGTAATCTCAGGTTGGGCAAATCTGGGATAGAAATAATTCTGATTCTGCTACCAGGTCAAGCCCAGCACTTCAGGTTGAGCCCAGAAAAAAAAATGTGCCACGGTAATGCTCTGGTTTTCCAGATCATGTAAGCAACCTGGTTGCTATCTTTTTGGACCAAGTGAAGGGTCCATGAGCTCACCCAGACTGCATTATGGCTGCAGTTCCCAGCCGTTTCCTTGATGCATCTCTGAATCCTTTTTTGGACCACAACATAAACCATCCATTTTAAACACTTGGGCCTCAGAATGGGAGCTGCTACTCCGTGTTGTTCCTCGGCTGTCAGAGACAGGGCATCATCATGGCTTGCTGGCCTTTGGATGTGGCCATCTCTGACGAATAATGTTGCCTTGTCTTCAAAACTGTCCTCCAGCTTCTGCAGTGAATTAGAAGCCACTGCTTTACAGCACTCCAATTTACAAATGCCCAGTGTGTAAGATCATGGACCTCTTTTTATAACTTTATGCCAACCCTACATCAGATGGGAGTAGCACATAGCAGCACATACATATGAGAGCAGTACATAGATATGTCTGTTTATATATTCAAGGATCTGAGGGCAAAGCTTTTACAGTCAAGGTCAGGACACTCGTTCAAAGAAAAATATCTTACCATGTTGACTGCTTTGCTTCTTTCCTTAACAGTTGAGCCTATAAATTGGGGAGAGAGACTCTATGAGTTTTCTTGCTTCAAATTAAAGTTGCTGGTTGTGGTCAATATACTACCAAGACTCTTATCTTGACAGAGGAAGGATCTTGCATTGCTTTTGCACCCTGCCCATACTCTGGGACGTGGTGGCGCTGCGTTTCCTTAACAGTTGAGCCTATAAATTGGGGAGAGAGATTCTATGAGTTTTCTTGCTTCAAATTAAAGTTGCTGATTGTGGTCAATATACTCCCAAGACTCTTATCTTGACATAGGAAGGATCTTGTATTGCTTTTGCACCCTGCCCATACTCTGCACGAAGAAACTGTTTATACTGACATAAGCAGAAGTCTTCACTGGATTTCTGCAGTCTTTTGGTATATAAACCATGTCCATTTTCTCTAGTTTTGCTTCTTCTAGCCAGAGACGCCATGCAGGATGCCAAAACATCACGCCTTGACCTCTGCGTCTTCCCTCTTCCCTTGAAATCTCACTACACAAAAGTTTTGTCCAGCTCTTCCCCATCTATTGTTTTCTTGGTACAGTGTGTGTTTTGGTGTGTGTGTGCTTTGAGAAGCCTCTAATCTCTGAAGATCAACACGACTGGACAAAAATTGTCAAGGGGAACCTTTACCTTTACCTTTACCATACTCTGCACGAAGAAACTGTTTATACTGATATAAGCAGAATCTTCACTGGATTTCTGCAGTCTTTTGGTATATAAACCATGTCCATTTTCTCTAGTTTTGCTTCTTCTAGCCAGAGACGCCATGCAGGATGCCAAAACAAATGCAAGTAGATAAATAGGGACCACCTCGGTGGGAAGGTAACAGCGTTCCGTGTCTAAGTCGCACTGGTCATGTGACCATGGAAGATTGTCTTCAGACAAAACGCTGGCTCTAGGAAACGGGGATGAGCACCGCTCCCTAGAGTCGAACACGACTGGACAAAAATTGTCAAGGGGAACCTTTACCTTTACCTTTACCATACTCTGCACGAAGAAACTGTTTATACTGATATAAGCAGAATCTTCACTGGATTTCTGCAGTCTTTTGGTATATAAACCATGTCCATTTTCTCTAGTTTTGCTTCCTCTACTTCTTGCCAGAGACACCATGCAGGATGCCAAAACGTCACGCCTTGACCTCTGCGTCTTCCCTCTTCCCTTGAAATCTCACTACACAAAAGTTTTGTCCAGCTCTTCCCCATCTATTGTTTTCTTGGTACAGTGTGTGTTTTGGTGTGTGTGTGCTTTGAGAAGCCTCTAATCTCTGAAGATCAGAGGAAAGTCATTAAAATAAGACTAACTTTAACCAGAGAGGTCTCTGAAGAAGGCGTCTCCTCTGCAAAACTCAAGCTGGTACAGTTCTGCCATGCAAGCTGTATATTCTCTCTCAGCTATACAGGCTTGAATATCATGAAATATTTTTTTTTAAAAAAACTATCCAGCCAGAAACCCACTTACCTTTATTCTTCTTTCTGTACAGTAAGAAGGCAATTAACGACAGGAGGAGAAGCAGAAGGAAAAGGCCTGCAGCACCGCTGGCCCACATGGCTGTCATGAGTTCTCTTGGCTTTGCTGTCTCTTCAAAATCACAGATATCTCGAGTTAGAGTGCCACACTTGCTTTATTCTTTCCACCCACACATGCAGAGTCCACAAATACCATAAAATATCCTTTCTATCGAGGCATACATTTCTCTACCCTTGCCCTCATCTTCTCCCATTCTCTTTCCTCTTCTTCTGTCAGTCCTTACTTTATTACACAAAGCCTGCTCTTACCCCTACCCTCTGTCACTGGTGGCCCTGGACTAGATCAGATGGGTGACACGGAGGGCTCACATTCAATTCAGTCTCATGAATCTGAAAATATAGAATGCCAGTTTTCCCACTGGCTTGTCTTGGGGAAAAGCAGTGGCTGCTTTGGTTGGTTGGTTTTGTGCTGATGCATAGGAACATTGTAGATATGATATATCCTAAACTGAAGAGTCACTGGACCAAATTTCAGACAGCTATCTTTTGAGCAATCTGCATACAAGCCACTCTTACTATTTTTTCTTTGCTTGCTTGCTTGTTTTCCTCCAAATATATCCAATCCCATCCTGCAAGCAGAGTGATTGGAAACCGGTGGTGAAACCCTTTCCTCAGAAAGTAGAGTCCAATTCCCTTCCTTCCATTATATCACCTATGAGTTCTCTTCTGGTTTTGATCCAATGCAAGATATATACAGTCTGGTGTTTCCCATTTTCATTTTAAGACATCTGAATCAGTCCGATCGCCTCAGTTCGCCTTTCTTCTGCTCTGCCACTGGATCTGCCTGTGTTGCTTCAATCCATATATCATACCAAACGATTCAAATTGGGATAGTTTGGTGTAGGGTGCAGGATTCCACCAAATCTGGTTCACTGTCCTTAGCGTCCAGGTGATGAGGCAACTAAATTAACATGTTGAACACGGAGCCCTGAAGTGGAGTCTGGCCCTCAGCTGTGTTTGTTCTGCACAAGAAATGAATGCCTGAAAAGAATGCAAGAGGATGGGGCTCTTTTAAGGTCAATTTCCCCCCCACTTTCAGATGTGACCCAAGTTGCAGAAGCAAATTCAAAGTGATCTCCCTTGAAGCGACCTTTCCATAGAATCCCTCCATCCAGGCCCCTAAAATAAAAGCATTACAGCTGGACCAAAAAGGCCCAGCTTGGCCATAGATTGAGGTTGGCCTGGAGTGCATTCCCCTGTCTATTGTGTGATTGCTGGAAAAGATATCATCACCGAGCCACTCCACAGTTGCTATCTATTGCCCTGCAATGGAATCATGTTTCCATGGACATGAGAATTACAGCCTTACTATCATTTGAGAAACAGCACGCAAAGACTGGGGCAGATCCTCACCTGTAATGTTGAGGTGTACTGCTTCACTGTAGTCTGACCACGTTTGGTAACCATCTGATCTGAAGATGTACACACAGCGATAGGTGCCCCTATCCGATTGCTTGGCATTTTCAATAGAAAACACAACTTCGTCCATCTCTGCTGTCTTGGTGTTCAAAGTCTTCATTGAGGCAGAGACTTCTTTGACCAGGTGGAATTCCATTTTATTGTATCCTTCGCTCCTGCAATGGATGTGGACGTTCCTGCCCAGGGTCACCGCAGCACTGGGGGTCACGGAGATGGAAGGCTTGTGATAGTTCTGTCCTGAAAGAAAACAAGGGTAAAGTTTGGACAATGCAGAATTTGCAGGAGGAGTAAAAATGGGGAGCAATTTATATGTTGTGGCTAGACACACAAGACAATGTGTGTCACTGAGTGGTTACATACTGACTGGATAATAGATGATCTTCATTTACATATTTGACTAGCCCTCTTGTAATCTCTTTAAATCTCTGTTCAGCGACTTGCTTCTTAATAAAGGCTCTGGTCTGAATTGAGCAAGAGATGGAGGTCTGGCCGCATGAGTGATTCACTCCTAGAAGTGTCGAGAAAACAGTTCTGATTTATCTTTTTTCCTGTTTTCAGTTTTGCAGCACAGCTGAGGGGAAGAATCTTTTCTGCTTCATCTGTGGAAACTTCTCACTCCTTGCACAAACTTACACAAAATGTTGTGTGCCACTCCATTAAAGTGCTGTTTGCTGGTGGTGACTTGTGGAGAGCCGGAGGGATGTGCTCAGTGGAAACTTAGGTTTCCCTTCATTCCCATTTCTTTCAGGGATCCCTCTTTAGCTTTCTGGGGTTTTGTGCCCTTTGCTTTTCATATACCACAAAAGTGGATGCCTCTTTGAGGCCATTTTGTTTAGCTTTTTGCCACCCAGTGGTATGGCAACGGCAATGAGGAAACGGAGCTGGCAGAGCTATTGGGAGGGCAAAGAGGCAAACAGGGTGTGGTGAGGGAGAGCGCCGTGGAAGATCATGGTGGAGTTCGCCATACTGACAGAGGTCCAAGAGGCGAAAAGTGCTGGCACTGAGAGAAGTCGGGGGAGGGGAAAGAATGGGGCAGGCAAAGGAGGCAGGGGACAAAGAGGCAAAACATGGCGGCAACAGCAGCAAAGTGAGGAAAATTTCTCAGGCAATTTGAGTGAAGAAGAAAAAATTAACGAAAAAGGGAAATATATAAGATTCCAAATTGCTGATGCCCCCCAGTTTTGTTTAAGCAAATCCATCAGGTTCAAGATACTCTGTTATGAGAATCCATGAAAGATTACTTGGTCGTTGAGGTATCAGGCTGGGGAGCCAGAGGTCGGGAGTTCAATTCCCCACTACGCCTCCTGTGAGTAGAGAACCAGCCTGTGTGGCCTCCAGCAAGCTGCACAGTCCCAGAATGCCTCCAGAAGAATAGGTTGGTAAACCACTTCTGAGTCTTTTCTACCTGAAAAATCCTGGAAAGGGTTGCCATAAGTCAGAATTGGCTTGATGGCACATGATGATGATTAACTGGAAAACCCCATCTTTATTAAGCAGTGACACAAGTCGCTTTCCAAAGTTCCTTTGCTCATTGCAGCGGAGTCGAGAGGCACAAATAATCTTTTGCTTCTACTTCAGATTGTTGGGGAGAAGACAGCTAAGGTACAGAAAAACTACGGTGATGCTCAGCATATTGGAGTGGGAAGGGTGGAAGGAATGGGGAAGCTTTGGCTTTCAAAGTGGCATTGCTCTACAACTCCCAACGTAGACAATGCAAACGAGTGTGCGAGTTGTAGTCCAAATCATGTTGAGGGCCAAAGCTACTAGTTGCCTATTTCTACTGACAATCTGCTGTCACTAAATTAACCACTTGTGGTGAGTTTTTAAGGAATTATTAAGGGGAGGGCATGGCATATGTGGAGGAGAGGTTGAGCCTTATTTTTCAGCACCACCATGTCACCTCTCTCCACCCCACATGCATGCATGAAAAGTGCTGTCTGTCCTCCCCTCCCAGCCCCTCTTAAAAATGTAATTTTTTGAAGGCTGGGTGAAATACTTTGGCAAGTTGGTGGAGGTATTTGTGTGTGAGAGAGACAGAGAGGGAGAACCCTAAGGATGGGAAGCAGGCTGTGAGAATTTTCCTGAAGGTTGAAATTGTCAGGAGGGCATTGGTTACTGTACTAAATCAATGAAGTGATCAAGAATCTTCCCTCATCACATCACGTCATAAACCTCATGGCTGGCTATTGCACGCCCCCAAGCTCTCAGTAGCCACATGGCTCTGTCTGCTAGGGACTGGGCCCTAAAGCAGCCACCTGCAGTCAGACAGTTTAGCAGCCACTACTTGAGATAAGGGGAACAAGACTGGTGGGAGAGGAGGCCATGGCATTCATCTCCCATTCTACCCCCAACAATCCACACACACACACACGAATATTTTATTTTGAACATTGACACTCACCTCTGGACATCCACTGCTGTCCATTCAGTAACAGGCCTGGAAGGGGGAAAAAAAAGATGATTCTACTAGTGGAAAGGAAAGTCAGCAAGAACATAAGATATTGTCCTGTTCGGTGATACCTACCAAGAAAAATGACCTTGAGAGAAAACCCCATTTGGAAGCTTCACTCTGCTTAGTAGCAAATATTTCTTTTTAGATCTGTCACCACCCCAAACAGAGATCTCAGCAGTGAGATTTTGTATCTGAAATATAGCCTTGCTCTTTCTTATTGTGCTTAGTTCCTCTTCTTATTGTGCTTAGTTCCTCTTTGGAGGCACTTTGTGTCACTCTGCCAACTCCTGCGATGTTGCTGGAACCAGTTGTATTGGCTCTTGCCTCTCCACTGGACCATTTCAGTGACGTGGAGAGGGGGGATTTGCTGCTTGGGTAACAGCCTATCCTCCATATTATTTTACCCAGGCTTCGTGCTCTGGAGAGGACACTCCAGCTTCGCATACAGCGTCGAAACAACACGGGAAGTAGCAGTTACCGGTTATAAGTCTTTGCTCAATTGGCGTAGAGCAGGACGCCAGGGGCTACTTCTGACGGTGGGAGAGGTCATTGCACCTCACTAGGTAGATACCGCCCGCCTTAAGCTGGGCAGCCCCCAGCCAGTAAGGTGCTACCTCGCCATGGTCTGTTAACTTCACGGGGTGCGTGGGGTTTAGGGTCAAACCCGACAAGCAGATTGATAACCGTGCACCATGCAACAATCGTAAGAAAATTTCTGCCCTTAAACTGGGCACCTGGAATGTACGGACAATTACCCCTGGCTTTCCTGACTACGGCTTTCCTAACGACCTGCAAGAAATAGACGATGTGCGCAAGACAGCTGTCATTGACATGGAACTGAGTAGACTGCAGATGGACATTGTTGCCTTACAAGAGACAAGACTGCCAGACTCAGGTTCTGTCAAAGAAAAAAACTTCTCATTCTTCTGGCAGGGAAAACCATCGAATGAGACCAGGGAATATGGTGTTGGCTTTGCAGTCAGAAATACTCTCCTGAGATGCATTGTTCCACCTACTGTGGGGAGTGAAAGAATCCTGTCTCTGCAGCTCCACTCATCAGCAGGACCAGTAACCCTCATTAGCGCATATGCACCAACACTGTCATCCACTCCAGAAGTGAAAGACAAATTCTATGACGATCTGGCAGCTACTATCCAAAAAGTCCCTGAAAGAGAGGCACTGTTCATTCTTGGAGACTTTAACGCTAGAGTTGGTGCTGATCATAATTCTTGGCCCACTTGTCTAGG